TCATCACAGGAATAAATTACATTTTAAAATATATTCATAGACAGACATGGTCACTATGAATTATTGTTGTTGTGGAAAAGGAGTGTGTGACATTTCTCCATTTGTGTTTTGTCCATGGAAAAAAACATATCATTGTACAGGTCTGGATTGACACAAGGGTGAATAAATACTGAACAAATTAAAATTTTTCAGCCACCTTTAAACAAATATTGAGATGATAGCAAACTTTGTTAAAATGCAAGGTATGTTCTAAAAGCTAGGAATACCCATACACTTATTCATAAACAAGCTTGCACAACATCTGCATCATTGCTCATGTACTGTATGTAGTATGGCTTAGATAAAAATCATGCCAGCACACCTCACACATATAGTACTGTAATCTCTTACACACATACACACCATTCACTCATCCATGACAAACATTCCTATTCTACCCAGCAACGCTCCTTAATAACTGCCCCCATTTCCCTCTGGCCACAGACAGACCCAGCCACGCACGCAAATTCCCGATGCTGAGCCTCTAACGCACAGCCCAGACGCAGCTTTCCCTTGCTGGAAGAGGGGTGGGGGGAGAGTTTCCCCATCTTTCTGCAAGCGGGCTGTTTTTACCATGCTCACAAACATGAATTAATGAGAGCCAACAAAAAGGCTGATGGCGTCGGGGTCACTCATGCATACTTCAGCTCAGTACAGTAGCAGCTCAGCAGGGGTCTGGCATACTGTCTGCCTGTCTGAGGTGGCGTGAGTATGAGGGGTCAGCACATGACTGGCAGGGTCTCATACGCTCAAATATACGCTCTGATGTATGCACACACATACAGACAGCCTGTCTGAGAAACAAGCTGTAGTAAAGCAAAATGTCACCACTGCAGGGTAAAGGCATGTGACAGCACATCTGACCCAGTAATGGAGGGAACGTGCCCGTCTGGATGGTTTCACGCAACTGTGTTTATGTGGTATTAAAGTGTCAGGGAATGGGGGGAAATAAAATGCAACGATAAAAGGAAAAGAAAATTAACAAATGGGATTAATTTTCAATTAATAATGCAAATAAAATTTGATAAATAACTATTTATTCAATAAATAAGTGTAAAAAATATTTACAATATTGTATTATTGGTAGTAGTATTATTAGTATTATTATTATCCCAATTCTAGTAAGCAATAAGATCTCAAAATCATTAGATTTTCCTAGTGTAACCCGATCAAAAGTCTCAATATGAACTCAAACATTTCATATCCAATTCTTGGCTTGACATCTGGTACACAAATTCATATTAAATTAAATATAAATTACATTTTACCCAAGCCATGAAAGGCCAATTCATTTTGGTTTTAGATTTACTTAATGTCTGTGATGAAAAAAACTGTTTGAAATTCATTTGATTCCCATTTCCAAAAGAAGAATTATCAGTAAGCCTAAAAAATGCCAAAGAGGCATTAGACAGTTTTAAGAAATAACAGTTGCGAACTCTTTTGCAAGTACACTTTGCAAAATGTAACATTTTGCTTAGCTAGAGAGAAGCTGTGTGGACAGGAATAAGATGCTGGGTCAGTCCCTGTCATTGTCCCTGTCAAGATGTGCTGGGAATTGTTTTAGAGCTGCGTTTCACCCATGTAAACATACTGTATGTAATGAGTTATTTATATCACTGATCACTGCAAATAGGAGAAACAATAAGGAAAGAGAGCACATGTTTGTTACAGAGAAACACTGTAATATTCAAACATGTGACATCTGCAAGCAGGTGCTAGTGGAAATGCATGACCATTTGTCAAGGATGTGAGTCTGACACATTCATACACACACACACACATACACACGCAGGCCTTGAACAGATGTAGTGTGCTGTATTAGTGCAGGAGGGTGTAACATTAACCCTGGCCTGCTGTCTCTCTGGGACCTGTCTCTCTCTCAGCTGCTCGGGTGCCAGACAGGCCCTGGTTTCCTGTGTGTTCCTGGGTGCACGAGCCGAGGTGATTCTACACCCTATTTAAGGGGGCTTCAGGCCCCCTTGTCTATCATATTAGCCTCGCTAAAAATGTGATTAACGCAGCTGTCACCACCAAACTCTAATAAAAAAGGAAATTGTGAGATAAAGTTTAAAACAAATAAACATTTATGCATTTGGAAGTTGCTTTCATCCAAAGTGACTTGCGACATTGAATTCAATGTATATATATTTTTATCAGTCCTTGTATTCGCTGGGAATCGAACCCATGACCATGACGTTTCTAGCACCATCCATAAATGTTTGAGCTACAGGAATGCACTTAATAAAATAAATTCACATTGTGAGATATAAAGTCACATTTACAAGATATAAAGCCATGATAGTGAGAGTTAAAATTACAATTATGAAAAATAAATGTTTGTGGTATTAAAGTGTCAGAGCGTGAAATGAATGCAGTGACAAAGGGAAGATTCACCTTTGAGATTAATTCATAATAATACAAATAAAATATAATAAACCAATCATTTTAAAATAAATAATTATAAGAATATTTTAAATAGTTATTAAAAATAAGTTATTAAATAACAATTCATAATTAATACAAAAATAAATAAAAACAGTTGAATTTTAATTTATCAGTTGTGTCTTCTAATAAGCAGTATCCTTTAGAAAAATAGTCGCAATTACTAATAGTCAAACTTATCTTTTTTTACTCTGAGGTGGCTTCGATGAATCCATCTGTGATCATGTCAGACCCTTAAAGTATGCACTTATGTGATCTTTATGTGATTTGTACTGAAAAGTGTAGCTGTATACAGTCACTGGGTCCAAAACGTGGCACAGATTGGACTGAACATGGTGTTACAGGTAAATTTGGGTACAGGTAAAGTTCCACCCAGGGTGTCGATGTTTGGCTTGTTTACTTCAGATTTTGGTTTGTTTACTTTTGGCTTATTAAAAATGTTCAAAACTCATAACCTTTTGACCTCAAAAAAGGACCTCTAAACTGCCACATCCTAGAATCTCTGCAGACTCTTGTGCATGAGAGCATCGGTGTGAGTGAGCATGTTTGTGAGTCTCAAGGGCAGGTCTGAACCCATCCACATGGGGTCACTGACCTGTTATTGAGGTCTCAGACATTATACTACAATCTCTGGCTGTAGTACTTTAAATAGTGCTCTGTTCATTTTGAAACGGGACTATTCGTGTAGCAATATGATAGTCTGGAATGAAGAAATCAGTTCCAGTATGTGTATAGGTGATATGAGGTTGTGTGAAGCACAGTTGTCATTCCCAGGTTGTGCGGTTGTACACCGAGTTCCCACACAGCTACTTGGTGAGCACAGAAATAGTTAAAGCATTTCAGTTATTGAAGAGTTAAGAGTCACAGATCACTGAGCGTTTGTTCTCTGATCCGTTGATGTCTTACCCCCACAGCCCCTGACAGCTCCTCAAACTATCTCTCTTACTTTCTCTCTCCTCTGTACTTTTATTTTTTAAATAATGCGAGTGGCACTTCCTGTGCCTCAAACTTAGATCCTTTGAGATTACAGGAAAATATCAAGGGATTTCATGTGCTGACTGCATGTGTGGTGTGTCGAGGTGTGTGCATGTGTTTGCCCTTCTGTGCATTAGTATGAGCAGTGTGACTCTGCATGCCTCTGAAAAGGTGGCGTTACACATGAACGTGCTGTGCATCGTGTCAAAGGCTGGTGTGTAGGACTCGTGTCACGGCTGAAGGTGAAGCATGACTGTGCATGTGTTAGCATACAAGGAACACTAACTCTGTGATACAAAGCCAAACACTATCCAGCATAGGCTTAATACCAGCTTGAAACTATACAGGTTTACTACACAGCCTTAAAGGGGTAGTTCACGCAGATATGAAAATCCTGTCATTATTTACTCATTGTTTCAAACCATTGTGATATTCTTTTTAATGTGAAACACAAAAGGAGATGTTTAGCAGAATGTCCAATCTGCTCGTTTTCATACAATTAAATTGTTTGGTTTGGTCAATAGTGTAACAATGCATGAAGCACAGCTCAAACAGAATTCATTTTAAAGCCAAGTAGCTTTCTGTCGGTCAGTGTGCGAATCCACGTGACTAATTTGAACCTTTTGCAAAATCTGCTTGGTGAAATCTTTCGCCCTCTCACAAAATTCCTGATTGCGCAAATTCCTGTTTAAAATATTCTTATTTCGACCACGGAAATTTGCAGATCAACAATAAATATGACCTCACCTTAACAAAGTTTTGATTCCTGAATAAAAACATATCTTAAAAAATACAAATCTTTATACAACATATGATCACAATGCATTAATATATACAAATTATATAAAAGTCTAAAATAAAGTGATGGTCTAAATATTCTGTTATAAAGAATGCTATCTATTGGATTCCATTCAGTTAACCTTTTTCTGGATATGTTAATTACAAGAACCATCTGAATGAACTGATTCGCTGGAATGAATCAGACTTTTCAATGCTAAAATTGAAGAGAATGAGAAAGTGTGTTTGCTTTTACAGTTCTGGCACAAAGTTAAACTGAGATGCATATCATACAACATCATGTCCTAAAATGACACCTTAACATACAGTATGTCTGTCTATGTCACAGAAATCTCTCCTTCATTGGACACAAACATGCAGAATGAGAATCGCTGAGTGCCATCTCAGACTATAGCGGGAGCTGAATATTGACAGCAGCTGCAAGGATGGGAAATCATTCTAATTCAGCACTTTTGCAGATGAAGGATTTTTCTGTTCAGATTTAAAGCTTCACTTTGATGAATGTTCCCCGTTTTTGTTTACATCAATATTTTTTTGTCAGAAAGCTAACCGAGTGTGTCTATTTCTCTGTGTGCGATAGACAAAAGAAAGCGCAAGAAAGCAAGTAATGTGTCTCTCATGCCCCTCTAGAACAAGTCCACTCTCTGAGATTTTGGTTAATAGAAAAGCGTCATGTCTTACACATGCACGTAACGGTATGTTTCAGCTGCTGTCTTCACATTTTTTGTGGTTTCTCTCCCTTCAAGGCTCCGACTGTTCCAGAAACTTCACCAGTCCATCAGGTGTGATCGAGTCGCCCGGCTTCCCTGACAAATACCCCCACAATCTGGAGTGCACCTTCATCATCATCGTACCTCCTCACATGGACGTCACCCTCACCTTCCTGACATTTGACCTGGAGAACGACCCCTTGCAGGGCTCAGAGGGCGAGTGCAAGTACGACTGGCTGGAAGTGTGGGACGGCCTCCCGCAGGGTGAGTCTAGATGTTGTAATCCTGAAGAATTCTGTTTGGATTTACAGTCGGGGTTCGGATTAGACCGCGGTATTCCAAAGTCCAGACCACCCGTGACTTTAAGAGGATTGCATTTCCCATTTCCCTCTGACCTCATTGTCTGCTTTGAGATAGTATGTTGCATGTCTGCCATACATAATTTGGTCACTTAATGATTTCTAATCCACATACCATCCACTATCACACTATGGGCCATCTGGTTGGTTTATCCACCAGTCTATACAGCTGTTCGCTCTTGCCCTGTGACATGCACCACCCGGCTGTTGGCCGCTGTGCTTGCAGCTCCACCGGTATGAAGCTCAGACGCATTGCTGTCGTGCTGTTACTGCGGCTGCCACTGGAGCTATTTTAGTAGCAAGCGTTGGCAGATGAAAGTGGAGCCCAGGGCCTTGTTTTGCCTTATCTGCACCAGGCGGGGCCAAAAAGCCACAGAACCCATATTATAGGGGTGGAGGACATGGAGGATGGGGGTAACAGCAGCCATGGTAACCTTTATCAGGAAAGTGAAAATGGGGCGTGAATAACACTGCAATAGGATTTAATCCTTGTCTGGAACAGAGCGCTGTGGAATACACTCTTTTCCCACAGCTGTCTTATTAATGCTTTAGCCCTGAGACCCCCATACTGCCCCCACCCTAGCCCTTCTGTCTCTGGGTTGGGCTTCATATTGTAGCACTGCACATGCACATATAATCAAACAATACTTGTAGACACTAAAACACAACAGTATATTTAAGGTGGTCTAATAAATCTAACCAGCTTGACCAAGATCATGAGGTTCACCAACTAGTAGTACAGTTCTCATTATATAATATAACAATAAAAAAGCAAATACTCATTACTGTAATGTGTTTGCATGTTATTGTAGTATGTTTTGTATTGTCCAATCCGTATTTATTACTGTTATGAAAATATAGTGGAAAATATGCTTAACTGTGCAAAAACATCTTTATTTGCCTTATGAAAAAA